TTTATTTTTTTCTTCACCAGTCCCGTGAAAAACGTCATCACTTCCCCGTGTACTCGGCATTACTTCCGCGGCGGTTTGTAGTCGCGTCCCGCCCTTTATTTCTAATCAAATACCTGTGGAGCGCAACGTTCACGTTCCCGCGAACTTCCTACGCCCGCGGTGAAAACTTTCGAAAGCGGAAGCACTTAAGTAATATAAAGTCTACCGAAATTAAAATTATTGACGGAGTTTATAGCGGCGTCGCGTCGCGGTAAGGAAGTTCACGGGAAATTAACATCGCTGCGTAGCGAAAAACGGTATCGAAGTCCCGGATTGAAAGTTTCATATTGTATTATCGATAAAGCCCTTGTTTTAATTAGGAACATAGTTTTGTAATAAACAAATGAGGATAAGCTGGTGCGAAAGAATTTCGTTTCTTAACTGTTTACTTTGAAATGTTATTTAAGCAACGAAAGAAATTGATTTTTTATTGAAGTTCCAGAGTAGCTTCTAGCTGTAACGAAAAGTACACTGTATTTATTATCAAAATATTCTGATGCCAACAAATATATTCTTCTTTGACATAATTGCAAAATTAAAATATATACAAGAATATTTGAGAGAAAGCTAATTTCCGATAACAATGTTTTTATTGGAATTAAAGATATAGTTTCTATTAGAAACTATTGGAAATGGGGTATAAGTAAATAATAAAATATTAAATTTACAGATTAACTTTAGGTTTATTTTCTAAGCTGTCACGAGCAAACTGTGATCTGTTCTCAAGGTGGAGCTGCACAAGACTGACCGATGAACGTTATAAGAAAACCGCAGAAAGAATCGCTAGCTGTATACAGCGTAGTTTTGGCACATCTTAGTCTCTAGTAAACTACAAGAAGGGTCCTCTTCGGAGCGTAGGCCATAGCCTAAACGAAAACTTTCTCTTTCATTATTCTGCAGTTACAGATATAACATATTCTGCATATATTCTCAGTACATTCATTTTCGTAGTAAAACAACACGTTGAATTTCAGTAAACATTCCAACAGAAACGAATGAAATTAACCTTCTCCAAAGAACGAAACTTTTATCATCTCCTGCGACATAACTCGTTGTTGAGCAACGAATGATTAACTTTTCCGGAGGAAACGAACATTCCCTTGTAACTAAATGCAAGATGAAATCATAAAAACTGTTCGAGGCGTGTAATTTCGCTAATGACCCGTGTCAGCAGTTTATACCGCGCTAAACCTCTAATAAAGGAAATAAAGCTGCCGCGTTGCAAAGTAAAGAGCGTAGGATCAGATACGTAGCGTCAAAGAAACAACGTGGATCGTCACCGTTGACGTTATCATGCCAGCCGAGGACGAAAAAGGTAACGAATGCGCAACGTCGCCTCCGTTTCCGAGAAAGCCCTTTGAATAATTTCTCAGACGGCGTGTATACCAAATGACGTTAATATTGTCATCCGGCGCGGCTGTACGAAATAGCGCGTATCGCGGCAGAACTATGACGTTATTACGTCGTTATAACGAAATATTCTAACGAACCACGTATGCACGGTTCGCGTGTTGAAAATTATTCGATGTCAACGTTCCACGCGGGGGGAGGGGAGAAAAAGAAGAAAAAAGAAAAAAAAAAGGCTGGGAATATTTCACGCGATATATTGACCCCGATTTGTCGACGGCGCCGCCCGCGATCGAAGCGTATTAACATCGAATTTTTCCGCGATTATGCGTTATTTACGAAACCTCGCGGCACCGTAATATCGCGAATTTATAGCAATTTCGCCTCCGGAGGTGGAAGGAGAACAGGAATGCTCCCTACTTCGGCCTTAAGTTGTTGCACACACGTAGCGAACGGATAGTTTCTCGGCCACGTTGTCGTGTTACATGCGGCGCCATAATGTTTGCGTCGCCCGTGATAAACGGCGCCTGGCGCCTTTTCATTTTACGCTAAACTGCGGATGAGAGCATTCTGCTCAACGATTCGATATTCCAACGTAAATATCGCAGGCAATGCTTGGAACGTCGGTCTTGTAACGGAAATTTTAATTGCACTTGAATGATATAGGATGTTTCTAAACTCTGGATATAGTGGATATTCCAGCGAATAAATTGTTAGGAGATTATTGTTCGAATAAAATGTTACGGACCCTCTGACTGCGAATCGGGCGTGTGTATACGCCCTCGAGAAATTGGCTCGGAAACGTTTATATTCGTTAAATCAATTTTAAGGAAAGATCAGCTTATAGGGGATGAACAGACGAAACATTTTTATATGTACAGTTTATTCGTAGGACGCTTAGTTTCGAAAATAAAAATTGAATTAGCAGTGACAGACGAATTTATCGCTATTACGATAGACGTCTTTAAGCGAGATGCAAATCAATTGTTTTCCGGAAAACAAACGATATATTCGCGCAGTTTCCGACCGGGTACGGTTAGGAAACCATTTACGGAGAACTAGGAAATGCACAATGCTTGAACCACATTTGCCTGCAAGCATATTTACATGCAACAAAGCCGTAGCAGTTGCGAGAATTCAATCGTCGCGAAATTATTCTGTATTGTGTCAATTTTCGCGGAATTTATGTTGCCGCACCTCGAACCAGGTGTGTTCACATCAGAGATTGAAAACAGTCACGGCGAGACGTAATGCGGGATGACTGCGTTAACAAACAATTAATTTTACAGCGCATCGTGTCGTGTATTGCTCGGCAGAATTAAAAATAATAATTATCGGAGAAAGGCGAGCACACGAAAAGAAACTTGAGAAATGGAGCAAAATTCTTCTTGAGATTTATTACAGACATTAAACAAGCATTTTTTTTTTTTATCTTTTTATTTTTTAATCTCTTTACTTGTTTTCTTACCACTGTTTAAAAATCGTACAAATTACTAACCCCACCACAGTGCCCAAACCTTTTAAATCATTCAAAGGAACAATATTAATTTTATTTTATTTTATTCTGCTTTAAATCGTACAATTTTGTTTCGTTGTAGTTGTACTTCCACATTTGTAAAATAAATTTTTGCGAAAATCAGGCAAGTCGTGTTCCTGTTGAACATACCGTATCCGTGAGAAGGGAATAGAAAGAGAAAAATGGAGGACACGCATTAATTTCAATGCGGCCTAGATTTGACGCTAATACGTGGAATGTATGGAGAATTCGGCTGTCAATAGTTATATCGCGGGTGGCACAGGCTGGGACTCCCGTCCTCTACGACATCGGACTGGACCGCAACCAGTTTATTTAATCGATGCATTATGCAAATTGACATAACGGCTCCACTTCGGATGCAGTAATCGACCACCATCTCTCGACTGATTCACAATAGGACAATGTGTACGTTGAATAATTGGCAGTAGCGTGCTGCGGCTTCGAAATCAAAGCTACTGAACTTCCCCTTCGTACCTCGCGTCTGAAAACGATGGACATGCGCGGGGATTTTAGGTGCGCTAGAATTTCATTATCAGAATCCTTCGTTAGGCGAATGCTTTGACGGTCGTGCTTTCCTTTACCCGAATAGGCCACGTCCTTTTGGCATTTTAACATTTTTAATAAATTCTTGATTTACACATCATAGTATTAAAATTATATCGAAACCTTTAAAGCGTGCAACCATAAATAGAACGTGCGTTTATGTTAGTAATATTTTCAGGCGTCATCAGCGTCGATGATTAACGACATCTTGAAGGCATACTTTGTAATTGTCAGTGTACTGTGTATTTATTGGATTAGTTCTACTGCAATGAATATATTTTATCTACGAAATCTTATGCTTTACGTATGCACAAACGTTTTCAATCGGATTTGCATGTTAAGCACGTTAGGCAAACACGCAGCTAAGACGCACGCTTCGGGGGTTGACTCTGCGCAGAATGCAGGGGATTGTACATGTTTACACTCAATTTGAATAGCGAAGGAGAGTTTGCAATTTATAAAAAGTATCGTTACCATCTGTGGAACCTTAGCTTTAAAGGGCATATCGAAACTAGATCTTGGAAAAGAATAATGATCCAAGCATAAAATCCTGAAAGGATTTATATATAATTTTAGGTGGCCACGATTTATCTTTAAGCAACGTGTTTTCAGAATAAATTATTTTCTTTTATGGCTCGACAGTATAGAACACTCGGTCGATACAACGTCCTGACGGTAATGTAGGCCATTGTATCGACGAATCCTTCGATCAATTAGAATTCTACATTACCGAGTATTACCGACTGAACGTGTTGCGTTACCGTTAGAGCACTCCATCTTACTCTTTCGGTTTCCCATAATAAAAGCTTTCACTGTATAACTCGTGTCCTAACCACTTGTTGTTCCATCATGTGGAAATTCTCTTATCTGATCACTTTTGTCCCCCGCAATTAGTTCACATAACGGAGGTTCTACTTCTGAACCGTTAAGGGTTGAACATACTGCATTCGCGTATGCCCCATTACGATACGTAAATGCTTCATAACAATTACGAGCCTGTCGACAGCGTCTTTACGGCTGACGGCTGACACCGCGGTGAGTTGTATTCCCGCATTAATTGGAAGCGTAATTGCAACGATAGCAGCGTTTGACGTAACGACAAAACACCCGCTCTGTTGCGCAGGAATTCCGGGATTGATACGAGACCAGGAAACGTTTAGTAGGGGAAATAACCGTGTTCGAACCGTCGTTCGCGGAATTTTCGGTTCGAATTTCGTCGCTGAGAATTCAAATTTGAATCGAAGCCCGAGAATTAGAGAATAAAAACAAAATTCTGGTCATAAGAATAAATTCCTTCTCCGTGTGACGCAAACAAGTTAATCACACGACATATCCTACCGTTTGACCTACACTGTACCCAGTATGCACTACAGTATTACCTAGTTCCACCCTAAGCGAAATAATTAGTCGTGGGACATTCGCATCGCGAGCGCTCACCGAGTCCCCTTAATTGCAAACAGAATTACTCTTACGTCTTAATTGAACGTTCCTGGGAAACGTGGAGCAACATAAATCAGAAGTTTCAATCACTTACTCGGCTCGTCGACGTTCCCGAGGAAAACTTCCGCCGCGACAAACCGAGCCATCACGCTCATCAGCAAAAGCATCCCCTTCATCCTACGACTGTGTTTGGCCGAACAGTCCTCTCAAGCTCCTTCTCCTCCCTCGCTCGAATATCGTCCTCTTGCTGGATAGCAAGTAGGTCGAGACAACTGACAAGTTTCAACGAATCCAGTCCAGGGAACGGCTTGGAACTCCTGCGTCAAACCGGTCCTACGTCTTCCAGGACCTACCTGCGTCCGTCGCGCAAACTTCACACCGCACTCGCTTTTCCACAACTTCACACCCCGACTTCCGTCGTTCGTTGCTCGTCTATTATTCACCTCATCGACGTTTACCTCGATCGAGGAACAAATTGTCTAATTTCTCGACAGGGACAATCTGATGCTCCGAGCAACCTTAAACAGGATCACACGCTATCAAACGCGAACAGAATTCATCCATGAAACGTTTGAACAAGAATACATGGAAGAGAGTATGGAACAAATTCGCGACGATGTACCTTTCTACTAGTCTTAAACAGAATCACACGCTATCAAACGCGAACGGAGTGTCATTCACGAAACGTTTGAACAAGAATGCACCTCGCTGAGGGATCTCGTCCTTTTTTTAAGCCGTTGGTCATCCCCCATCGGGGCGACTGCGTGCGTTCTTTGTGGAGCGTCTTCGCCGTTATTAATGGGGCTACTCGATCGGCTAATCGCATGTTTCGTACACGGTTCATTAACGATGGCTTCGTACGCTGCTACGCTTCGCACGGGCGTCCGTCATCGTTCGTCGATAGTGACGTAACGGGCGTCTTTTTTAAAATAACTTGCGCGACGCGAATAGATGATACCGACGACACTGACGACACCCAAACGGCGTCATTAGGATCCATCGGATGCTATCGCGGTAAGATACGCACGCTGTCGTCGGTCCATGGTGTACCACGGAGGATCGAAGATGTTCCACGTACTCCAGCGACGATACTCGCGTTTAAAACTTCCGAATCGACGACGGGGAGGAAATGTCAACACTTTAGGCTCCCATCTGCATCTTCGCGACGGTTTTATCGGCGAGAAAGCGGTGGCCGACCCTTGGTAGACAGGTGGAGTTGACCAGGTGGGGTCAACGTATTTTTATAGACCCTTCCAAAAGCTCCTCTGGTCGTTAAGAAACTGACAGCGCTTAAGGAATTTGTTTAACGATTTCGAACTTTCTGTTGGTTAATCACGACTGATTCGAAATTCCTATGGTGTCTGTTAAAACCACGAAAGGACAGAGTAGGAGCTGACACTGAGACGATGGATCGCAATTTTCAAACGTTGATCTAGTCCTGTCTGTGAGTTCACTGTTGGATTACGAGAAATGGTTCACGCATGAGGTTACTTTCCGTTGTGCACTTTTTAAAAAAAAAACGAGTTTCGGCAGTGGAAATGATCGATACGATAGATTGATAATTCACTGTGCGTGTCGGTTATCCCGGCGAGAAGGAGCGTAGTCCATGCGCGAAGTAGAAGGCGCGCTCACTGCTGCGTCGCAGCAGGCCTACTGACAGGGGCAACCGAGCATTCGGCTGAGCTCGGTACGATTCGTGCAATTCCGCCACCCTCCGGCGGCAGCTTAAAGCATTCTCCGAGCACTTTTCATACCCCCCTCCCGCCCCTTCGCTGGCGATCACTACAGGCTATTCCCCTTGTTCAACCCCCAACGAACAGACAAATGTTAGAAAACGGTGCGAGAAGCTCGAACGTCGTATTTACTATTCATTCATTATCCCAGGGACTTAGCGGAGAACGTTAAAAACAGATCGCGAATCATTTGGACTAGTTGGAACGTGTCGGAGCGCGAACGGGGAACCTATGAGTTTAAGAAGCCATGGCCGGTCAGAAATTTTGAGATTTTCTATTGCATTTGTTTATATTTTCTTAACGCTACTTTCTTTGCTCCACGACCACGTAAGACGCAAATACCTTAATGATTAGCTTCTTTAGCCTTCCTAATAGATTTTACACAAGTGGAACAGCAGTCTTCGACGTTTAAATGAGAATTAAATTTCATCTTGCTCCCTGTCTAAGAGCCTTAACCTGAATCCCCGACAAGATTGAAACTTGCAAGTATACTACCACAAGGTATCAAACATTACATTGCAGAAATTGAGGCTTTAGAAACATGATGAAAAAATGAATTTAATTTACGCTGAGGAAACATATATATATATCGACACATTTCTCCATAGCGATTTTTGTTTAAATCAATATTTAACGAGTTATCGAAGTTTATATGCAGCTACGTGTTCCGTCCTCTATATACAAATAATATACATGAATGTTGCTGTGGAAAAAAACGAATAGCATCCAAGTTCAAAACAGCTGGATCGAAAGGGTTGAGAAACAAATTCAAAACTCTATAGTAAACCGTGAAACTTTGATAGATTTGTTCAGAGAATAAAATATCTTGAGTGAAAAGAATTATTGCTTTCGTTAATAAAATGGGCTGCGTTTAGGAGCGTTCTCGTAGAATTGAGCGTTCCTCGTCCAATTATGAAGCGCTGTACCTAGAACGTTTTGGCCTACATTCTCTCAAACCGAACCTCGCCATACCCGTGGCCCCAAGTTGTTCATAAATGCCATAAATGAAATGGAATTTGCTTGGGCAAAGTCACCCTAAATTGTCTCGTATTTCCTGGTGTAGCATTGCCCGCGGAAACAAATTCGTAAGCAAATTAATTTCGATACATTTGCTCTAACGGATTTCCACCAAATGGAAATGCGAAATTAATGGGTTCTACGAGCATCAAAAGTTCATTACTCGCCTCGGGTTCGCTAGAGATCGTTATAGCGAGGTTAATTCGAGCTGATCTTTCTTTCGTCTCTCGTAAAGAAAAGAAAATTATACGAAGATAATAAAGTCTATTTCATCTCTTATAAAGAAATAATAAATAAATTCAAGTCTATTTATTAAAGTTGAAATACTTTAAAGATACAAATTTTAAGTTTCTGAAGAGAATGAAACAATTCGAAGCTTCTAAAATATTGAAGAGTTTTAAAACATTCAAGACTATTCGAGACTTTTAAAATGTTCAAGATTCCCAAAACGCTGAAAACCTCGTTCGTGACATCGAAGCGGATTTTATTTTCAAAACAATTCCAAAATGACACAGGAATCTGTATTCTTGGTCGTTGTACAAACAAAATTACTGGTAAGCCTGCCTAACAAGCCTAGACCATATAATCCCACTCTGTAACTTTCCTTCGTTTCCAAACATTAGTTTCTGACGCCAAAAGCTCCAACAATATCTACAGGGAAAGTTTAATGTGTCAACAACCATAGTCAAAACAAAATCGATTTACCTTTGGAACCCAGTAACGGGTTGTTCACTCGGCATCGTTGAACTAACCATGGCTCCATTTCTCGGCCCTTTATGAAAACCTATAAGCACATGGACTTCGTCTTTCGAACAGATAAACAGGATAGCATGTTATAAGTCTAACAGGGATATTTACACAAATCCATATTTTATATTCAAATATGCAGAATGTATGCACTTACACGCGCAATACAAACAGATATCTAAATGTACGGAATGTGTAGACGAATTTCTATTTTTTATATTCATCGTAAGTCGTCCAATTCGATTGCCAATTTTTATTTCATAGACTGTTGTCTTTCATAGACAACGAAATAAAATTTGTCCTTGTCGTCAATTAATATTAAATACTGTTTACAAAACTTACACCTCTCGAACATTCGAAAAATATAGAGAACAAGATACACCATCGTTTCTATTTAATTAACAATAAAGTAAAAGTTATAATCTGTTTACAAACTCATTACCAGGGCAACGGTTTCCGTTTGCCGGGCACGCGAATGTCGCGGATCCGGAAACGGCTACGCTGTCGCCCTCTATCGGCGACACGGCAAACTTATCGGTCACTTCAAAGCTCCGCCGGTTTTTGTTCAACTTTCCTCCGCCCTTTGTGACGCAAGCACAGCCGGGATCCTATTAAAGCACGCGAAAGGGACGAAATGGTTTCGTATGTCTCTAAATATTGCAAAATTCTCTGCGAGAAAGTTACCCGCCGTCCAAACAGCGGACGCGTTTTTTCGCCTCATCGCGGGGAAAAAAAAAGTTTCCCGCCAGCGAGTGAAAAATCGTTCCATTTAAATGTCGAACTTTCGAATGAACATTTTCATAAATATGTATTCCGTGCCGGCACTGTCCCGGCTTTTGTCGCGCCTGGCTTTGCCGTCGCGGCAAAGAGAATAGCATTTTATTTTTTTTTTTTTTTTTTTATTGTCTCTCCCTCGGAATAAAGTTATCAGCGGACGCAGTCGCGATACACCGCTGAAACTTGTTTATTGAATTACGCAAACCGAATGTCATTTCGCGTTCGTTGCGTCCTGTAGCGCCGGTTTACGCGTATTCGCTGAACCTGTAAAAATATGTACACAGCGGGGGCGAAATCGTGTCGCGTTAAGCGGACACGTAATATTTCGCTTCACGGAGGCCTGGTAACTTTTTATGCGCGCTGGTTAGTGGGATAGATTCGGATTCGATCTCGTAATGGTGTAGCGAGTAACGATTACTGACTGTAAGATCGAAGGAGCATCTATGTCGAGGAGAATTAACGGCAGTGAAAATCAATGATGGACAGGTGAGGCCTTTCTTGACGACTGGGCGTTTCGTGTTTGCCGAACGCGTTAAGAAATTTGCTGCTTAAGAAACCTGAGTAATGAGAAACGCGGCTATCGATCGCGCGAGGCTTCTTATCTCTGATTACGATCTCCCGAGTCGGTTACAAAAGGGTCCGTTGAATGAGGTAGGAAGTGCTACGTTCGTCACAATTACGACGAGGTTACTAAAAGCTCGGGAAGGTCGACAATGGAGTGCTCGAGAGGTTTATTGCTTCCGCAATAAGATTCTGGGGCGCACCCCAAGAAAGGGGTTAAGTTCAAAATACACACTGGTCAGATGATGCGGATGTCCGAAATTCTGAAATATCTTGGCGGAACGATACTGATGGTAGTGTCCCGACCAGTTACTCTTAATTTTAACAGTGAAACGCCCCCATTCGATTGTCGTTTTGCGCTTGGAACTATTTTCTTAAAAAACGAGGAAACAAAATCTATTTTAAGAAAGTTTCTTTCTGTTGAGATACGATCTTAGGTTTGCTCGCTTATCTTCTTAAATAATCGAATTTTATGTGAAGTGTCCTCGTTCATCTATCTGTCGTCTACAAATGCTCCAGAAATCCTCTTTATCGCTTTTTTTAAATGACCTTCTTGATTGTACATCACTCTAAATGTACCTCACACGCTCTCCTTTTATGCAACTCTACCTCGAACTTTGTTGTTTACGTTGCGTATATACAGTATGCACATATTTTTGAACATGCAGTCTTATCTTGTTTATGTCCGTGAGCTAACATAAAAGATAAGATATATTCAAGTCCTATAAATTCAAACACGAATTATCGAGTCTTTTGTTATTCACAATAATTAAAAGATTTTGAGTTGTTTCAATATTTATTCAGAAACAATGTTTGTTAGACTTATTTGTCCCCTCGGAGAGGACATCCGAGTGCAAAGAGTTAAAACGTTACTTAATTAATTTGATTATTAAAAAAGAAAGATGCACGAGCCAATTCAAGTTCATGATTCCAGCACGAAATTTCCAGGACTTTTATTATCCACAAAAATGAAAAGATTCCGAGTCCCTTTTGTTGTAATCCGCAATAAACGTTATCACGTATACAGGCGCGTGCTCGTGCATTACCTGGATGAGTCCAATTTACGAAATTACAAGCACTCGGCCCTCCTCTGTCCGGGACACAAACATGGAAAACAACAGAAAAGAGTAGCGAGACGAGAGACGTTGATCCCCTGAACGTTGGAAACATTTCATGCCACGATTCGGACGAACAAAAGGACCGCCCGAAATATGTGCTGCGAATGCGCAAATGTTTTTGGTCAGCATTGAGAGTCAGGGGAAGAAACCGCAACGCTAACAATTGTTTCGAAGAAAAATATTTGGCGGGTGGTAATTGTGCCAAAAAATAAATTATTTATTTTCTACTCTTAATAATTACAAAAATACCCCGAAAAAATATATGAGACGCAGTTTATAAGTACGAATATTTTCGTTTTTGCAGACTTTAATTATCTGAAATAGCAACCAAGAAAAAAGATAATAAAGTTACGGATGTTTACCCTCGTATTAACCTGTAAGTGACACGTACCAAGAAAATCAGGAACGATGATCGGTTATTTAGCTGACACGTGTAAAAGTTTCAGAACGTTCGGAGTTCTGGAACATGGTTAAATAATTAAAAAGATACAAAAATCCCATGCGTTACGCTCCGTAGTTGAAGTAGAATGAAATTATGGTCAGACACGCTACGCGTATCGTTACTGCTATGCGTACGACAGGAAGGCAACCAGTTTCAACAATTTTGTAATTGATATCACAAAATTTTCCTCAAAAGTATTCTGTTTATAATTTCTTAAACGATATCTAAACTTAGTTGTAACTTAGTTGTAAATAATTAAAAAGAAACAAAACTGGCAATATGAAACAAACTAAATGTAATTTTTTTTATAAGCTATTAGACTGTTGTAGTGAAAATATGCAGTCCCTGTCGTATGGATAGCTGTAACGATACGCGTAGCGTGTCTGACCAGTATCTCATTCTACTTCAGCCCATTGCACGGAGCGTAACGCATGGGATTTTTGTTTCTTTTTCATTATTTAACCATGTTCCAGGACTTCGACAGTTCTGAAACTTTTACATGTGCCAGCTGAATAACCGATCGTCATCCCGGATTTTCTTGGTAGGTGTCCCTCACAGGGTTGTTTCCAATTATCACCCGCAAAAAATAAATTGCAGAAACGCAAAGATCCCCCGGACGTAATAAGACATTTTTCAGAGAGTTATCGATGCGGTTTTCTAGAATCGTTTCCAAACTGGCTAAATGGGACGCAGGATTTGCTGACTCGAAATCCTCGTTCGGAACCTCTCGGGACCGAACGGCGCGGGCTTGGGGTAAATATTGGTATCACGACGAATCGCGTAGTTGGCCATCCTGAACGTCTGACCCTTCCGTATAACGACTTTTGTTCCTGTAAAACTATAACTTCGAAGCGATTTACCCTTAAGAGGGTATCATCGCGACTCCGACGATTTAAGTGTAACCATAAAAGTAACAGTTACGATATCGTTTTGCTGTGACATTGGTACTTCCTTTTTATCAGCGATTTTTTTATTGACGCCGTAAATCGAAACACGTATGGCTCCCAACAATGGAGTCAAATTAAACCAATGTCTATCGCCTTTTTTTTTTTTTAGATGCCTCCCCTCGAAAAATGTAGATTTCAAATGGTACGATAAAGATTTATTGCAACAAAACTTTGACGATTATTACGAAGGAGGTTGTAGAATTTTGCTTTTCAAAATGTACAAAGGAATTGCGTTATTCCAAATAACATTGAAAGCCTGTATTACCCATTCACTGCTAGAAAAATTTAAACCGTTTGCTTTGGGCGTCAAGATTTAATACAGATTTGTAATCTAGGTTATTATTTTGATAATAAAAAGTCTAAACGAGTCCGACAAAATGTAGACGTGTAAACCACAGAGATTGAGAAACGCTACGTTAGATCTATCAGCTAAATCTTGGGACAAAATTAATAGTTCCACGCTCCTGTGGTGCCTTCTGTCCGCTAGGTCCTCCTAATATTTATATATAAGCCATTTTTTAGTAGCTCCACGCATTTAGCCTCTCTTTAGTCGCTCTTCTTGTCTCAGCAATGATTGTCACGTCATTTTACTTGATCACCATTTTGATCAACCGATTGACTGATTGCGATCACGTTGACCACTGACAAGACTATTTTGCCCTGCTCGTCCGTATCCATGGTGCAGTGGGGTAGGTTTGGCCTTCGGTGCACAATTCACCCTTCTCTGATGTGAAGGTCTCCCTCCGTTGTGATGTGGGCCAGATAATTGCTCGGAATCACCTGTCGTTTGACGGTACGAAAGACCGTTCGCCTGGGTTGTTAGGGTGTAACTGGCAAAGGGGTATTGGCCCCCGTTTGAATACACAGTTTCTCTGTTTGGCTGACAATTATGACATTTCGGTGGTCGGTGTAACGAGGCCCTGTCAGGAGACGCGAAGCTTCGCTGCTAATTGCCATGATACGCATTTCTGTCTTGACTTCTGCCCGGTCAATATTTACCTAGCTCTGTCACAAGTTTCGTTACGGATATTCACCTGTATTATCTCTTCGAGATGAAAACACGTAAATATTCCAACTTGATACAAATAATTTTAATAGGGGTTGAAAATGTACCCTCGTTGGTGATTTCAGCAATTTTATTTTATTACAATGAAACGATAAATATAAAATGACGTTTCTAATCTCAAAAATCGTATACGTTTTTTTAAGAGTAAAATAAAGCATCGATGTGCACAATAATAAAGGAGAAGAATACCGATAGAAAAACGAGGAAAAACAACTCTAAATTAATATTAACATAATTGCATTGTAACTGTAATATAATATTTAAGCATTCTCTACTTCATCAGCTTCGTCATTTTTACGTATATTCCGTGAGTAGGTTGCAAAAGAAACAACGATTTTTTGTCCATGATGTACGGTATTTGAGTCTTCTCGCACACCTCGAGTTTAAAATCGGTCAAAACCCTGATAATTGCTAACTTTGACTGGTTGTTGGCGAATCTCGCTCCTGGAAAAGAATATTACATACAATTGCCGATTCGACGTTCGTTTAAATTTTCTTAATCGAACAAATATTTTACCGATGCAATTCCTTGGACCATCGCCGAACGGCAAGAAGAACATCGGGTGCCTGGATTTGTCGCTTCCGTCGGTGAACCTGTCGGGATCGAAGACCTCCGGATCCGGATAAATATCTGGATCGTGTTGAGTCGCTACAACTGGCATGAATACTTGCTGACCCTTAGGTATACTGACTTTCGTTCCCGAGAACGTATAATTTTCTAAAGCCATTCTGGACAGGTACAGCACTACTGGATATTTCCTAAGAGTTTCTGCAAAAGTAGACCAACATTATCTTTTTCGATTTGTACATGTCCAATTTTCTTTGTTTATTCGTCTTTTAGCCTTTCTCATTTATTAAATGAGTGTCTCATATATTATGATTTCTCCGAGCATCCTTTATCTACTTATTTTTTATCCATTTATTTATTTATCAAATGCGATTTTACTCGCTGTAAATTGTTTCGAATACTAAACATGTAAACCATACCTTTGAGACATGCATCTAGATAATGCATTTCCTTTATGCAGTCGTATGTGACTTGACCGTTGGTCTTTCGGAGAACATGTTTGAGCTCTTCGCGAAGTTTCTCTTGAATCGGTGGATTCAGTGCCAGCTCGAAAAACACATGGGAGATCGTTACCGAAGACGTCTCGAAGCCAGCAACGAAGAAAACAAACGCCTGTGCAGTCAAGTACTGTTCGGTCATCTCTGTAAAAACAAGTGAAATTAATTATTGTTTTTTTCGAACGCTGTACTTGAAACGTTATACGTTTCCTGGGGAAACAGTAAAGAAAAATGTGATTCATACTTTCAATTCCAAGTTTCTCTGGATGTTGTTTCAAGTCTACCAAAGCATCCATAAAATCGTTTCTACGAACGTTATTTTTAATCCTGTAATTCACGGTCTCCCTGGTGATGCCCGTAAGGAATTCATTGACTTCGTTATCGACGAAAAACCGGCCAACGATCTTGAAAAGGAACGGATACTCTCTCAGTCTGTCCCTGAAGAAGGTCTTCCAGCTGGTTTGAAAGATTTGCCGACCAATCTTGCGAAACGGACTGTCTTCCGCTCCCAATGCGTTCATCTCCAAACCGAACGCGCAGTTACCAATCACGTCCGTGGTGTACTTCGCCGCGATTTCGCGACATTCGATCGGCTCGCCCTTATCGACTTGGGCTTCTAGGTACTTTACAAAGTGATCCGAGCACTCGAGCAACAAGTGAAACATCTCCTTCAGCTTCCCTGACGTGAAGACGGGAGAAAGTCTGGTCCTTAATGGTTTCCATCTCGGTGCATCCAACCTGAAGAGGTGCACCGATAATGGCTCAACCTGCAAATATATATATATATATATTATTGTAGTTCGGGCAAAAGTATAAATACACCTACATTCGTACAATATGCGATATTTATCGTAAAATAACGTTTCTCGTAGTCTTCGTTTCCTGAGTTTCATTGAAATACGTGTGTTAGTTCGTTAAAAAAATACCATAATTTACGCACGTCTATTCTTGCCTGTTCAAGTTTAATTTGCGTACAGTCGCTTTTAAGTATATTTTCAGAAACTAATGGCGACTCGAACTCGAAATTATACTGGACAGTAACGCTTGATAATTCGCGCCTTTACTTAAACGCCCGATGTTCACTAAAAAAGAAACACCGTAATTTACATACATCGTCGACAGGGCCAAGAGTTCTCTCAGCGAAGACGGAGAAATCCTTGATGAGGACGTCCTTCATCAGGTCCGGATCTTTCAAGACCAGTAACGGAGTTCGTCCTCCAAACACACCGATCATTGGTTCGTCCTTGAATTCGTAGTAAGCCTTAACGAAACAATCGCTGACCGACCCTTTCCCAAGGAACACATCCATGAAATTGCCCACATATGGAAGTGGCTTCGGGCCCTTCACGCCCCGTTTCCGCCAGAAATCGAACGTTGACGTAGCATAATAATAAAACAAGAACAACGCCGCAGCGAAGAGTCCGAGTGTCTCGACTAATGGCCAGGACATAGTCCCGTTGTGCACTTTCTATCCGTTGTTCCCGATTAATAACTACACGGTTGAAATCGAAACAATCGCGAGTTGCTATAACAGAGACAATTTCAAAGGGACGTCAGTCCGGTCACACTGGCATGTTCCTTCGTCGCACGGTTACTGTGGACGCGATATATCAAGTCGGTTTGGTACAGATACTGGTTTTTCCACTACACGCTCTCCGCGATGTTACAATCTCCCCATTGCTGTTCCCTTTATGCAAGACACATTTAATACCATGACTTGCGAGCCAGTGCAACCTAGTAATTACATCTACACGGACACGAATACGTTCCTCTATTATCTAACAATTACCGAACACGATCAAAGTATCTTATCGTAACATCTAATATTGTTCTCTCGTATTGCTTGTAAATTTTCTTGAATCTAACGGATCTATGGTGCTGCGATGACTGGCGGTACATGTTACTATGTATTATATTTTTCAAAACTAACACGCGTAAAATCGAATCTTAAGCTTAAATAGAATTTCTTTTACTATAAATACTTTTATTGTGATATCGAAACATATTTTACATAATTCTTGTAACATTCTATAAGAATTTTACGGAAACTCGACACTCAAACTGCATGACCAAAATTATTTTTACAATGCATAAAGGAATTCAGGTGCATTTTACAATGCAATGGTGAAAAAATAATGTTAAGTTTAAATAAAATTTCTTTATAGATTTAATGAAATATTTTATTCAGATATCGAATTAAAGATGATATTAAATATGATTGTAGATATAATACACCTATCGTTGAAACTATCATTGCATAACTGACTTTTTAAATCGAATTGACATTTAATACACAGCTCTTTGTCTACCATGTAAACACGTCGAGGTTTATTTGTATTTGACTTCCGGTTAAACAGCTACCACTAGTTTTCAAATAGCAGTAAAATCAACTTTAAAATTTTTTGAACTCTCTCGAGTCATGGTTAAGTATCGCTGAAGCCTACAGTATTTCCAATTAGAGCTGCATCTAAAGCCTCACACCGAATCTGGGTTAGCATTGAGTAGCTATCCAACGCAAAATGACAGAGCAACTTTCATGCAATTACGAATATTTCCACGACTTTCTAGTAAGTCAGATATTAAAATACTTTGCACAAATGTCGTTATGTCGTTAAAAATAACAATATATGTATACTGTATTTCTCTGAGAAAAATGACACGTTGGCGAATAATGCTTACAATAAATTTTATTGTTTATAAAGTAATAATGTTATAATGGGTATTCGAAAAAGTTCGTGGCTACGCAGGCTTGTGAACAAATTTGTGCTTTTTTACGGAGAAGATGCTCTATCAAAATTTTGATGTCAAAGTGCAAATGTGCAAATGGTTGAGATACGCCACGCACTTTCTCGAATACCCAATATAGTTATCAAGTTATCCATGAATGAGATTAAATTAATTGGCATATTTACAAAATTCTTCAAAGTTTCACGTTTTAATAAAACATTGATAAGTTAAATCTCGTGCGTAGGCTTATATAAGACTTTGTAGAAACGTTTCATAGTGTAAAAGACTCCATAGAACGAAAGTGTGTCACGATCGAGGTAGAGACTGATTGCTAATGGTCTCCATTTATGTTCTAGATATCAAAGTGGCGCTCGAGTGAAAAAAACATGTAGTTCAGAAATAAAATCTACGATAGTATATCAATGCAACGTTTGATTTTGTTACGTGCAAAATTATCCAAAATAGTGTTTACCGTAATAAAACTGAAAACTCTGACAAATTTGTTAAATGTATTAATTTATTCAATTCTGTTCATAGAGAACTGTTAGTAAATACATATTGGTGTTATAATAATTGACTAGGGATAATGTATACTATGTAATATTATATGTGTAATAACAGTGAATCATTCCTTGTACGACATATAATTTTTACTTAAAAATATAGTCTCGATGCATTTTTTGTTCTGCTTTTCCATGACTTGATAGAATACTCATTGCAACGTGTTTTGCATCCAATCCTTTACGTGGATGGATTCGAATATACGAGTCACCGGTCGATTTACACAAAGACTTCTTATATACGAGTCTCGCATCCAACGCGGCTAATAATTATATGGTACGTGCGGTACTTGTTCTCGTACGTACACAACATGATTTACGAGGTCAAACAAATTAAATTTTCCTACAGAGTGATCCGCGTAAACTGTTACAAGCTGTCTTCTCTGAAACCATACAACGCAGGGTTCGAATACATTGAAGTCGGTAATTTTTAAATTATTAAATTATTTCGAATAAATAGATTATGAAAATTTAATTTTCAAACCAATCCAATGGCCTGGTTATTTGAATATCATAACGATTTCAACACCGCCACCATGTCTTGCGATTATGTGCAAGTCATTCGAAAATCAGAACCGATCTTTCGGGGTAACGTTGGAACTGAACAACAACTGATAAACATTCATTCACAGAATATACTACACTGTATATTATATTATCATGCGCGACGGACAAATATGCATTTGCAACGAAAAATAAAGAATATCGTCGGTATCGTTATAATTACGCGACAGTAGTATGGAAATATGTATTCATGCATTGTCTTGTTTATCGTATAGTTTGACGAGTAATCTAATCAGACAACACTTCGAGTAATGTTTAAACGTTGTCATAATGCGACACCACGTTATCCATTAGTTTAAATGAATCTCATTTTCGAGGTAATTATAGATAGGTCCTTCTTGAGTATGCTTCAGATAAGACCTAAATACTCAATGCTATTTCGGTGCTTTACTTGTTTGTTAACACTTTTTTTGTTTCTGTTCGTCGTATCACGAGACGTGTCATAAAGATTCCAATGTTTCCTAATTTGTAAATTATTCCGGTGCCACATGTGTTTATTTATACGGCTAAATATTGTCGCGATTTACAAACAAATAAAATACTCTTCTACTATTCAATTTAAGAGAAACAGTTTTTCGTTAATTTCAAGGTGACTTTTAGATTTTGTTATTTCATTGAAGGTAATGAATTATGGCTACTGTTTTAAGTTAACAATATTCTCAGAGATACGAAAATGACGACGGAGAAGTGTGTAATCATTAGCGCATGTTAATCGCTTCAGCGATAATGTTGTAGTACTTTTCCGAGGAAATTCCAAGATCGTGGGTTAGATAACTTCTATGTTTATAAAAATTGAAACTTTAACAAGATCTCCAACGCAGAACCGTACGTAAATACACCCAGAAACGTGAATCACAGAATCGTATAGTATCAATGGATAGGATTTGAAGTGTTTGTTTCTTAAAAGTAACTTAAAATATTCCGGTGCTTGAAATCCATTTAAAATAAAGACGGTCTCTGATAAATCAATAATAAATAAACAATTTAATATTTGTATAGAATAGAGAATATATACACTATTCGTATTTACGGGACACAGCTGATAGAATATAAAAGATAAAATACTCGTTACAATATTTAAAAGGCACTTAAATTTATTTTTCGCGTAAGTCAACAAGAGAATAGCATTCGAAATCATTTTTCTTCGTTTCTCAGCGAAGCCGAAAAATGTTCGCGATTTGTGATCGGTAAAAGAAGGGATCGAAAGAAGTAAGAAACTAGAGTAATCCAGTCGGGAGCAACGTGGCCTCGGGTTGTTACTCGCGTTCCTTTCTTCCGAACAAAATTGTTTTCCGAGGGAAAAGCGTCGCGCGCGGACACGTACACAAACGTCGGTTCGTTATGCCGTCAAAGGGTGAATCGAGTTCCACTCGAGCACCATTATTAAATGCAACATGCAAACGCGTTGTGCAACATTGATTTTCTCTAATTGCCCCTTGTTCGTGGCCCGTTATGGCTGACTTCCCACCAAATCATTACCGTAGATTGTCCTCCTCCATTCGAAGGGGTTAGTTAATACGCATTGTAATTTAACTCGTGCCTTGCGTTGAGTGAGCATGAAACGAAAAATTAGGGGAAATCATGCGTGATCATTCAGGGGAAGAGAAGAGTAAAGTGTTGCTGTCGATATACTTTATTCTCTGTATTTATTTATGTAGAGTGCGAAGCAAAATTAGACCTATGGATGAATTACATTTTCGTTAAGTTAAATAATTAACTCGTAAATATTACGGTAACGATTACGTGGAGGATTAGATATAACGCGACGAACCGTGCTTTATACTTGCAGATTTATATTTATTTTTCTAGTATTTACGTATAGACACATTCTATTAATGAATACGATAATTAATCACAACGTTAATCAAACAATTGTTATAAAAGCCTGGTAATGTAGTAACAGATCTTCGTCTTTCGCCAAGGTAACGTTTACTAAATACTTGCCGGAGGGGAACGTTTTTGGTATACCTTCGAAATTATCGATAACGTATTTCTCTTTTCCGTAGACACCCTGAAATCCGAACAACCCAATAATGCATTAGCGTTAATTTTAATCACACAATTAAAGCAATCGTCAGACGTGCGCGGATCTATATGTAAATTATAAACAAAATGTACAAATAAAAAAAAATGTCTATATTCAACTGTACATACATTGCTTTATCTTTTAAATTCTTATTTATTTAATTGTTTACATACCGGTCCGGGGGGACAATCTTTGCTGCTCAGATCTATCGCTCTTATCATGGGAGTTGCTATGTTGTCGTTGCCCAAACTTATCATTTCGCAAAGGTTCGTGTCTATATGGATCCCAACGTCGTTCGTGTATTCGCCCATGTAAAGTCCGTTTATATTTCCTCGTGCCTGTGAAAAGTTTATCACTGTAACGCGTTGTTGTAACCACCAACTATCTATTGCAATAAGCTTCCACAAAATTCACGCGAATTTCTGCAACAGACATTTCTTAAATACATTTCGCTAATTTTGAATACGACCGTGACTACTACCCGCTAAATTATACTCATCTTCCTCGAATAATCAAAATTATTCTACAATTTAGAAAATTCGTGACAGCCAAGACGACCCCCAAGAATGTAAATACTTTGTTTAGAAATATGCGTTTCGTTTGAATGAATCCCATTCGTCGAATAAAAGTGCTGTGAATACGTACTTTAATACCGTCAGGCAATTGTTTAATGACCTCTATGTGCGAGGACAAAGTAGACCCGTATTCGCTATCGTCGTTCACTTCCAAAGTACATGAATCTTCTTTTACGTACTCGGCGCTAGCATATACACACTCGGCATCTTCGAGCATCAAGTCGAGGTGAGCCTTGTGGCAATAAGAAACAGTTAAAGCACAGGGTAAACGAATGTGGTAAATTAATTAGCTACTAAAATAATTTTAATAGCTAATTTATTAATATCAAAACCTTCGTTTTCTATTATTTCATTTTCTTAGTCGCAAATTATATCACTGACTCTGCCCAAGATCACAGCTCGTCACTCAGCCGCGCCATACAAATCACCAATGGAAGAAAAATCCTTCGATTATTTTATCCTCACCTGCACTACGCACCACCGTAGCGCACAAAAACTGAGCAACAAGAAAAACATTTTCTCTTGATCCTTGCACCGAGTATTTCGTTCCGACTTCGCTCTCGAGCTACTGAACATTTTTTCAATAATTCGTTATACTCGCTGAGATAACAGCTACGAAATCTGTGATTTTATCAAAAGCCATTGTAGCTGCGAAACTGAAATAATGAATAACTATTTATGAAAGTTAGAACAAAAATAATCGTGGGAAACACCGTGGTGAAGCGATCCGATTTGATACTGTTGTCATTTTGATAATATCATTTGCTAGTACTAATTACTAACGATTATATATCGTTGTAACAATAGTTACTATTATATGGTATTATTATTATTTTTAATTTTACGTTCACAGTACCCAAATAGTAATTTACATTCCACGTAGAGAGTTGGATGAATTACCAAAAATTTTGTATCAACGTCGGCAAAGCGATCGCACGCGTTCAGTTTACTCAAGCAATTATTTGGTCTCCCGCAACGTCCTGTAGACACCGTTCGACCATGGGTTTCCATTCCAAAATGAATGCAACAGCTCCCCGACGATATCGTAAATTTATCTTTCGGCTAGCGTGCTAGGTATTCCGTTGGACCCCGGTAACTTTTCTGCTGCCACGAGAAACCGAAAAATAGCGGAAACAAGTCACGTTATGCCCGCTTTGTCGATGAACTGGTCGCATGCCAATGTTAACGGTCGATAACCTATTCCATTTCGTATTCTTTCTGATATAGCCGTGCGAAAAGGAGAGAGGACATTGAACGAGGTTGACTTCTGTCGGACCGAGAAGATGATTTCTATCGATATCGGCATATTTCCTCCGAAAAATTTCGGTTTCTGTATGCGTCGCGTTAGCTGTGACTTCCTGGCATAAATATTAGAATTATTTTGTAGGGTGCACATATAGAAATTTTTTGCTGACATTCTATGCTAAATATGTAGATAAGTATGCCTCTGGAATAGTAAAACATTTCCAGTTTAATTCTTACGTGTGCGCGAAGTTTGTAAATATTTTTTTTTTTATACGGGAAAATTCACTTTCCTCGATCTAAAAGAAAAGAATTTGATATCACTCGTCAACTAAGGGGCTCGTTCAATTCTCGAAACGTGACACAAAAGAATCAAAATAATCGGGAAAGTCTCGAAACGGCGGGTGTCGGTCCGATAATGCAACGCATGTCGCCGGGCACTCGACGCTTTATGAGCTTATTCCAATTCCGTGGGGACGTACATACTGTTAAACGGATTTCGTCAATTCATTTACCACTTGATCTAGCCGCGCATTTCAATTATACGTGTACCCTTTTGTCGGTGGGTATCCTGTACGTTCCATCGCGACACGGTCGCGCGATCCGCGCACACAGACGGATCCTGATAAAGTCGTGGGAACGGATGCAGTCCACGGTAACAATTGAATTAATCTCGATCGAACAACACGACCTCGAAAACGAAACAGGAAATCGCGTTGTCGCGCGCAAAATCGAGCAAACTCTCGCCTGGCCCGCCGAATCTATTGGCCGTTATTAGCCGTTACTGTTTTCCAGAACGTTGCTCGTTATTGGCCCGCGCCGCGCTTTTTTCTCCCTCCCGGTTCGTTAATTAGGGGTGTAACCGGTGCAGCACGGCTAAATTACTGGGGCAGAAATAATTTACACGATTACGAAGCCGCCTAAATGTTCCCAACGATATTAGACCCCCCGCCCGTTCGGGGCAACTTGCACTGCGTGCTTTTAGAGATATCGCTCGTTCGCGGATTTAAATATTTATTTCTTTAAAGCAGGTCGTGATTTGTGTCGGGTACGATAATTATTGTTTGCAACGTTCTTAGCTGCGGGTTGAATCGAATTTTCAGATGATGGTGAACATGGCGAGGTGCTCGAGAAAATCTGGAATCTCAGAAAGCTCCCAACGGATAATTATTATCAAATTTTTTTAGTTAGTAGCATCCTGAATATAACTTTCAACTGAAACTTTCGACTGTATCTTTCGACTGAATTACTGATCAATTTGTACCGAGGAAACAAGCGCCAAACCAATTGTGGGCCAGCATAATTTTTATTTACACACATTTACATCGGTGACTCGGTAAGACTGTAACGAGAAACATTGATTCAAAACTGTCATAAATATTCGGTTCAACTTCCTACGTTATGCAGTTTGCGTGTCAAAAATGTCCTAACGTGGCCTATTTTTTAGGTCGCGATAATTATACCACTCATGGTGAATCGTCCATTTTGAACTGAATAGCCAAATTGCGTTTTCTCTCTAAATTCATTCGGTCGGAGATTCGAATCAGGTTAGTCTGTTCTTGCCGGAGAGCTCGTTTCAATTCCTGCAGCTTCCATCCTGCTTCTATTTGCTTCTCCGCTATCTGTTTCTGCAACGCGGCCACGCGTTGGTTCAAAATATTGTAATCCGCTCTTAGAGGACTCCCTGGGACGCAGCTAACGGCCCTTGGACTGTCCTGCTGCACCATGTCCGACGTCAGCAAGCAAATCTTGTCGTGAAGGTCCGCCAGCTGAGTCAATGTCAATGACTGAAAAAAAAAACAAATATGATAACGGTATTTTGTAGTAAAATTGATTAGCGGTATCTTTAAACTTACGCTTAGCCAAGAGTCAGCATCGAAGGCTATCGTTGGTCTCTCTCCAAGTCCTGCGTCCTGTCAAATTCGATACCAATGATGATATTAAAACGATAAACTTTGTTCAAACAAGAACTGTATTAACTAAATCAATTGTAATTTACTATGTCTACGTTAATGTCTATGATTTTAAGACGCATTACATAAACAATAAAAAGTAATCATCGTAAGTCATTATTAATATGATATTAAATAATAATATAATTATGAAATTATAAATTATATAATTTTATTTTAGTCTTTGTTATTTTTAATTCAAGAAAAAATATCAAGTAGTAACAGGGAAAGAAATTTCTCTTATAAGTAATTCTTAATGTACAACAAACTATATTCCTTGTCAAGCGTTTCTGACGGCCTGTATTATTTTTACAACGAACCTGAAGTTGTTTCAATATGTTAGCAATATTTTGTATTTCTTGTTCTGTTCGAAAAATATTCTCGGATAACGTCTCTGACTTTTTCAGCAACTCCGCTATTTCCTGACTCATCCTCGGGTCAATGCTCACTTCGTCTTCCATCTTTTCCGCCATTTTGGGTTCATCTTTAACTTTACCTTCCAAGTAAGTGATATAATCTCGAACGCGTTGTATACCTGTTTCGAGACAATGAAAATTCTTAAAAAATTGCAAGTACCTACAAAAAAAAAAAGATTAAGACATCATTGTCTCTCTCGTGCTTACTTATCTTTATTTTTTAACGACAACAAATAGAACAATTCAATCTTACAGGCCTATTCAAATAATTCAATAATAATATAATTGTACGAAATAAATCAGATGTTAATCGAACAGTGTGCTAATTTTATGAGAAATTATAATGAACGTTAGTAAGATGTGTTTGAAAATAGAAAACTTTAAACTTTAAACTTTGTATGAACTTTCACTTTTACGCGGTAATAAATAAGATATTGAAGAACTTTGATCAATGAACTGATAAATAAAATGTATTTATAAGGCACCGAAGTGATTCTGTATATTCTAAGAATAAACTTGGCTTACATATTACAGTAAATATACGCGGTGATAAACGGAAGAATCCATTTTGATCGATACATCATTCACTAGCCACATTTTTACATCTACCCACCGCGAAAATCCTAAGACCAACGTTTTCAACAAAGATTTTACCTTCGTTCTGCCTTTCAAATTTCTTCCTTAGTAAATCGTTCGCCTTAATGAAATCACCGCAATCGTCCACAATATCCTTGTCCATTTCCGTCTCCTTCGGCTCCAACTTGCGCACTGCATTCGTTTCATTTGCAATTTACAATTACAGAATTTAGAATGACGAAATAACACTCCAACGATTCCGTTAATCGTTGAAATGGTAAACGTTTGAAACTTCTAATACTAATAACAAACCTAAAGATGCCTTTAAATCATCGTGTTCCTTCCTCAAATCTTCTAATTCTCCACGCAACCTTTTGTTCTCTTCCTGGCAACTGTCTAACTCGCTTTTCAGTCTGGCATTTTCGGCTTTCAGCCGATCGTTCTCCGTCTTCAACTTGTCCAGCTCGTTCTTCAGCATCGTGCCATTGCCTTTCTGTCGATCCCTCTCGTCCCTTAATCCATCAGCTTCGGACCTCAGCTTCTCGTAATCATCCTTCAATTTATCGTTGGTCGTCTTCAGCTTCTCCAAATCACCCTTTAACGCGTCGTTGGTTGCCTTCAGCTTCTCCAAGTCGTTCTTCAAGTCGTTCAACCGAGCCTTCGCTTCGTTCAGTTCGTTTCCCAATCTCTCTTTTTCGGACCTCAGCTTATCCAACTCCGCTCTCAGTCTGTTCGACTCTTCCCTGCATTCCTCTAATTGTTTCTTCAGCGCTTCGAGCTCTTTCGCTACGTTCTCAAGGTCGGCGAGCTTCTTCTTCAATTGATCGTTCTCGTTTCTCAGATCGTTCATCAGCCTCTCCGCCTCCGTCAATCTGTCCTTTACCGCAGCCAATTCCGTTTTCAGCTCCGCGTTCTCGTTCCTCAACCCTTCCAGTTGCTGATTCAATTTCAGCAATTCCGCCCTCAGCTTCTCGTTCTCGTTCTTCAATGTTTCGTTATCGGCGCGTACCTCGTCCAACGCCGTTCTCAAAGCACCGAGTTCCTGCTTCAAATCGGACAACTCTTCGACAGCCGCGTCCCTCGCGGCTTTCTGTTTCTCCAATTCGTTCCCGAGGCTGTCCAGTTCGTCGCGGAGACGCTGAAGTTCGTTGAGCAGCTCTCGCTTCTCAGCCTCCAGATCCGAGACTCGACCTTCCAGTGTCTTCGCTTTATCTTCGGCAGCCGCGAGCTTCTTCTTCAAATCCTCGATCTCGGCGTTCAATCGATTACAGTCTTCGTTCAGTTTCTCTAGATTTCGCTTCGCTTCGTCCAATTGCGCTTGGAGTTTCTCGTTCTCGGATTGGCAGTTCTTCAGGTCCGACCTGAGCTTCTCGGCAGCCGCCTTCTCCGCGGCTAAATCCGATGTCAGTTTATCGATCTCCTGTTTCTGTCCGTCGCCTTCGCCTTTCAGTTTCCCAGACTCTTCTTCCAGTCTCTCGCGATCTTTGCGAAGCTCCGCGTTCTCGGCTTTCAGACCGTCCACTTCGGACTTGAGCTTATCGCGTTCTTCCTTCAGACTGTTCCTCTCAGCGTTCAGCGCCTTCACTTCGTCCTTCAGTTTCTCGTTGTTATCTCTCAGGGCAGCGACTTCGTCTCTGCACGCCTTGAGATCGTCGTTCAGCTGGGACAGTTGTCTCGTCAGATTCTCTATCTCGTTCTTGTACTTGTTATTTTCTGCTCTCAGGTTCTCCAACTCTTTCTTCAACGCGTCGAGCTCGTTCTTCAATACACCGAGTTCAGCTTCGGATTTATCTTTGGTTGACTTCTCCGATTCGAGGGCTTTCTTCTGCTGCTCGACTTGAGACGTTAGGTCGGCGATCATTTTATCGAGCTCGGCTTTCTCGTTCCGGAGCCGATTCAATTCTTCCTCGCACGCCTTCTTCAGGGCCTGTCGAAATGGGAAATTAGATTCTGCGTAGATAATCTGCGAGATGCTCTCGGCGCGACATGATTTTATTAAAGTTGCGCGAGCCTTATTTTTTCGCTAGAGACAATAAAATATTCATCTTTTTTTAGTGATTAACGAGGTCGCACCCTAGCCATGTTTAAACGACTGCCGCTATGCCAGTATCGTTCCGATCGACTCATAAAAATTCAGGATATTAGTTTGAACCTTTCGGAATGAGAATATCATGGCAAAAAATTTTTATCGAATTTTCGAAATGGCGAAAAAAAATCAGCAAGGAAACAATGCGTAAAAAAAAAAACATAGATTAAGTATATAAACAAAATTTCGTTTAAGCCACGATATGCAGTCCATCGTATCCTGCAATTTACATACAAACAATTTTTTCGTATCGTCAATAGTTATTGAAATATACGTTTGTCGCACTTTAACGTGAACACCTTTGTAATAAAAATTAGCCCATCTGACCTGGCATTCGCTTAAATCTTTCAACGCTTTCTCGAGGTCAGCCTTTAATTTGTCTACATCCATCTTGATCTTGCAGTTCTCCAATTTCCAATATTCCACGTCTTCCTCCAGCTTAGCAATCTGTGCTTGCAGATCGGAAATTAGCTTCTTCAAATCGGCAATCTCGGATTTCATGTCCGCCCACTCTGCCCTCATGCTCGATAATTCCTGTTCCATTTCCAGCATCTCGTTCCGAAGCCTTTTATTCTCTTCCTCCAGAGCTTCGCATTTCGCCCTAGCCTCGTCCAGTTTTCCGCTCAGCTCTTGCACCTTGTTCTCCAACATCGCGATGTCGTTCCTCATCTTTTCGTTGGCGGTCTGTTCCTCGGCCAGCTTTGCTCTCAGCTGGCTCGCTTCGTCCTCCAAGGCCTTCGAATTCTCTCGCAATTTGTCGTTTTCGTTTCGCAAACGAACCAGCTGGTCCTCGAGGGACCGAATTTTGTCCTCGGCCTCCCCAAGTTGGGGCCTGATCTTGTTCAACTCGTCGTTCAGCGATTCCAGTTTACTTCGCAATTGTTCGATCTCGGCTTTAAGTTTCTCGTTCTCCTCCCTGCACGCGTTCGCCTCGCCTCTCAGCTTCTCGTTCTCCGCCTCCAATTGGTCCTTCACCGCTTTCAACTTCTCGTTATCCGCTATACAATCGTCCAACTGTTTGCTCAATTGATCTCTCTCGTTCCGCAACGCGGCCTGCTCGCTCTTCAGACCGTCTAATTCCGCGACCAAATTATCCTTCTTCTCCCCTTCGGCTTTAAGTTTCTTGATTTCCTCCTGGAGAGCGTCGTTCTTCGACTTGAGATCGTCGTTCTCTGTCCTCAGCTTCTCCATTTCGCCCACGCACTTGTCAACGGCCTCCTTCAACGTGTTTATCTCCGATTTCAATTGACCGATCTCTTTCTTAGCGTTCTCCAGTTCCTCCTTCAGACGTCTCAGCTCAGCAAGCAGATCGGCGTTTTCCGATTTCATTTTTTCCGCTTGCTTCAGAGCATCGTCGAGCTCCCGCTCCAACTCGGAATTCCTGGCCCTCAGGTCCTCGTTCTCGCTCGTTAAACGATCCTTCTCAGTTCTCAGGTTCTCCATCTGGCCCATCAGCCCTTCGATTTCGGATCTCGCATCCTCGTCCGCCGCTCTCAACTCGTCCGCGTCGGCTCGCAGCTTGTCCGCTTCCTTCTTCGCGTCCTCGAGGTCGCTTATTAACGCCGCTATATCGCCTTTCAGCGAGTCGTTCTCGAGCTTCATCGCGTCCAAGTTCTTCCTCATCTCGTCCCTCTCCGATTTCAATTTATCGAGTTGCTCGCCGATGTTACTCAGCTCGGCTTTCAACCCCTCGTTCTCCGCCTTCGCGTCCTCGAGCTGTTTCTTGATGCTGCCATTCTCATTCAGCAGGGCGTCGCGTTCCCTTGTTACCTCGCTCAATTGGCCCTCGAGCCTGTTGACCTCCGCCTCCAGATTATCCAACGCTCTTTTCACGTTGTCGTAGTCGTTCCTCAAGACGTTATTTAGATTCGTCAGCTCCTCGATTTTGTCCGCCAGTCCCTTGTTCTCTCTCTTCAAATCCTCGAGCTCCGCCTTCAGCTTTTCGTTCTCCTCGATCAGGGCCTTCAACGCCTCCTTCTCGTCCCGGAGTTTGTTGTTCTCCGCCATCGCGTCCTCGAGTTGTTTCTTAACGCCGGCATTCTCGTCCAGCAGAGCGTCGCGTTCCTGTATCGCCTTGTTCAATTCGTTCTCGAGCCTGTTCACCTCCGCCTCCAGATTATCCAACGCTCTTTTTACGTTCTCGTAGTCGTTCTTCAACACGTTATTTAAATCCGTCAGCTCCTCGACTTTATTCGCCAATTCCTTGTTTTCTCTCTTCAAATTCTCGAGCTCCGCCTTCAACATTTCGTTCTCCTCGACCAGGTTCTTTAATGCTTCCGCCTTCTCCCGGAGTTTGTTGTTTTCCTCTTTTGCAGCATCGAGCTGACCCTTCAGATCCGAATTCTCCTTCTTCAGCCTCTCCATCTCGCCTCGGCTATCCTCGAGGTCCTTCCGCAAAGCGTCTTTGGCCGCCCTTTCGTCGGCCAATTCGCCATTCAGTGCCGCGACTCGTTCCTTGATATCGTCCAACTCTTTCAATAATTCCTCTTTGTCGTTCTTCAAGGCGTCCACCTCTGCTTGGAGATCGTTTATCGCGGATCTTGCGGACGACAGCTCGTCCCGCAGCGACGCCAATTCCTCTTCCATGGCTCGCAGCTTCTCCGAAAGAGCATCCTTGTCCACGCAGCATTCTTCGAGCTCCGCGTTTCGTTTGCTGCACTCTTCCAGTTCGTTCCGCAAGCTCGCTATTTGCCCCTTCAGATCGTCGATGTCCTTGTTCAACATCGCCTCCCGGGCCAACATTTCCGCCATCTTGTCGTCCAAAGCCTTTTCGAGTTTCTTCTTCTGTTCCAGTATGTCGATTATTTGATCGTTCCTTTCGGCCAACGCTTTTCGCAGTTTCGTTAGCTCGTCCCATAGTTTGTCCCTTTCCAGTTCGAGCTGAGATATTTGTGGCTTCAAGCTATCAATCTCCGACCTCAAGTTTCCCAAACCGAGCAACTCTATTTCCGATTGTCTCGATGCGTCCAGCAGCTCTCTGATCTGAAAGTAAATAATACAAACTCTGGTAGTAGATAGTAGAATATAAATTGTACGAACTCTCGCGGAATGACTGTCACGTCGTCACCGTCGCTAATATCGTACCTTGTCTTCTTTCTTCCGAAGTTCCGCTTTCATGGCTGCGATCTCGTCCAACATCGCTTGCTGGCTAATCGTCGATTCGAGTTGTTTATTCAGCGAATCGATAACCTTGTCCCTCTCCTCCAGCTGTTTCTTCAAATCGGAAACAACTGCCTCGCAGTCTTGGATCTTCTGCAACAACTCCGATACATCGATGTACTCGGGGACAGTCGTTGTTTCCGCCGTCCGTAGCATCGAAACTTCCTTCTCTTCAAGGCCAGCCAAAGCGCGACGTAATTCATCCACTTCGGCCCGAAGCCGCTCGTTCTCGACCCTCAAGTCCTCGCAACTTTTCGAGAGGTCCACCAATGTTTCTATCGACCTCTCCACGACTTTCGAGACCTGCTGATCGGCCGCCTGTCCTTTCATCAGATCGCGCAGCTTCGCCCTCAAACGATATATCGCGGGACAGCTGACGTCCTCCTCGGCCTGTGCCAGTTTCAATTTCAGATGCGATATCATGTCCCTTAATCTGTTACGGAAAATTTCATTTACCGATTAACGAATTTTAGTGGACGAACGTTGCGAAGACGATTAATTACTATTCCCGATTCAGCCTTTCTAATTATTGGAGCGCGATTCGTGAACAATTAAATGTAAATTATACTGCTATCATGAACATTTTAATTGCCATGAATATAAATTTATTTTTTGCTATACTGAACGATTCTACATCGATCCTCTGACTCTATTAGAATCGATATAGTTTTCTTTTAACAGCGTGTCCACTTTTTAATAGACACGTCAATTAAATCATCTGCTTATAAACCAACAAGTGTATATAGGAATACACGATACAGGAAAATGTATAAGGAATTTGCGACCAGTACTCTTTCTTTTCGAGTGCAAAACGTTCCCGCATGTACGCCATATTCGCCCTGAGACAATCCACCGACGCGCAGGGATCGTCGCAGCAATCTCGTTCAGCAAGGGTTTCCTCTAGATCCCTCACTTTATCCTCGAGCGCCGCTTTTGCATTTTGCAGCCTTTCGATTTCTTCCCGGGAGTGCACTAGCAGCGGATCAGGCTTCAATATCTCATCCGCATTCGCACCTATACGAAAACACCTAATCTTCAAAATCGTTCGAAATGGGATGCGCCTGCGGTACTGTTCGTGGAAAGCACTCTGAATTTTAAGAGAATTTCGAAACCGAGACCTCGTGGTCCGCATTCAAAACCACGTTTAATTCGTAACATTAACAGAAAATATATCGAATCTTATATATAAATATGTATTTATGTATTTATATTCATAATAAGATAACATTTATGCAGACATTTTTTTAGAGTTATCTTTATTTGTCTTTGTTTCAGATCCATGTAATATAGGTTAAAGGTTTTCTTTTTCTTTTTACGGTTCGTAAGTGACGTGACGTAAGCAAAAATTCTTCCTTATATAAAACTTACAAGGAATAAATTATCTGTCTATCTATCTGTTTGGACAATTTTATCGACATGTACGTGATAAAATATCGTGAAAGGATTTTCACTGTGGAATTAAAAAATAAATTCTGTACGAGAACATAATTATGTCCGACCTTCAAAGTGTTAAACGAAACACTCAACGAAGTAATGCTCACCATCACGCGTCGAGAAACACGGTTACGCAATCGTTCCTGTTCGTTTTTATTATTAATTGCACGGAACGGTGCGGTCGGTTGCGTCGAACGAGATACTGATTCGTAAGGAGAAGAGGGAAACACGGACGAGAAACTATCCGTACTGAATTCTAATTAATCAATTTGCCGCGTGCCAGCTGGCAGACGCGCGAAAAGAGGGTACGAAATATCATACATCGATACCGAATGACTGGAGGGCTTGTTTCAGAGACCTATTTTCGCTCTCCAGCTGAAGTCGTTCCATTCGCCACTTCTTCATCTGACACTTCATTACGGTGAGCTTCCTCAGGGCAAACGAGAGGTCGTAGATCTCCGAGTCTTTGGAATTGTCGCTGAAGGGATTGTAACTGCAGCAACAGCACGGCTCATTCGGTGGATCAATCGATTCCCGCGACGACGATGCATTGCATCCGCAACGGCAATGCGACAGAGAATTTCGCGACTCCATCGTGGGAAATAATCTTTTAACGTGTTTTCGAGTTAGGGAAAAATTGGATATATATATATATTTGCTCGCATTTGTACGAGAGGAGAAAACCTTACATTTTTCTACGACGTCTTCGATATCTTTTTCAAATTGTCCACTAGGTCGTAGTTTAGAGGTTACTCGAGTCATTAATCTTCCTCTATTCTTTTTCTCTAACAGTGTCACTAAGTCACCGATCAAAGTGTGTTATTATCGTAAACCGATTACAGAGCGTTCGGCGCACCTAAGCGCGACTCTTGCCTCGTACAGCAGGTCGAATTAAAACTAAAAATTTATCCGAGAAATGTGAGGTTGGATGAATTTCGTCGCGGCAGTCACACGTTTACTACCCCCCATAACTTTAATCGTCGATGAAGATCGATATTATATGTAACGTAAAATTTCTTACAATTGGACACTTTAATACATAAATTATCAAAATCGTTGGGTAGTTTAAAAAATGTAGTTTTTATTTTATTTATTTTGAATAATATATATTGCATATACCCACGTATTGGGAAGTGGAATTTTAAAACAAATCTTTTTTAACAAAATATAATCACATTTTGGGTGAATATATTTTTACAGTTTTATTACGACGAAGAATATACAACGTGATTTAAAGAAAAATGAGGCAAACTGTACAGTTATAGAGAAGATCAAGATAATTGATTAATATTATTCTAAACAAATAAAACACGCGAGCGTTTATTGTCCCCATGACAAGCGTGACAATATTTATTAAATGAATTGGCAATGCCGTAACCTTAAAGTTTAACCTCTTTCGATTGAAAAATTTCTTGTGAAAGCATGGGGAAAATATAAAATTTGGGAAAAAATGAAAAGTTAAAAGTTAATATGCGCTCTAAATGATTGCATATCTTTAAATATCTCAAGGTTCACTGAATGCTGTCGCGTATACCTGTTTCAACTATAAATGTATCACTATTTAATACGATTGTTTAAATTTATATCGAGGAATCAACAACCACTCGATACCATTTACAAAATTACCATTGGGATCAACTGCCGCTGTAATATTTTGGTGAGGAATTAATTAAAACTTCGTTATTACAATATCCGCGCTCCCATATCCAAGAATAAGGAGTCAAACGACAACGCGAATCGTAGAACGCGGGATTGGTCGCGTAGGTAAAGCGGTCGACTGTGGATCCGAAGATCATGGGTTGAATCTCCTTCGTGCTTTGCTTTTCGTTTACACTCCTACATTATATTAACCCTTTGCACTCGAGAGTCACCACTAGGTTTTCTTTAGGTTTAATTTCTTTGGAACTCCAAGTGTCAATAAAATGATTGTCGGCGAGACAAAGATGACCCGATTTTCAAATCTCAAATTAGAGATCTCATTTTCGGAGTCAATATAATCTTAGCATTCGTGGCAATAGAATGCTAAGAAAGCATCTCGAATTGCTGGTAGATACCAGACAAAAAGGCCTCGAGTGCAAAGGTTAATCAATGAACGTTATCGTACATGTCCATTAAAATATCCACAAAAATGATATAAATACAGATCACACTTTTAAATACGCGTACTCTTTCAGCAACATTCAGTTTGAACGATTCGAAGCAATTACAAAAATCCGCGCTCAACTCTTGGACGACAACTGTACCGGCACACCTCGTCTCTATGAAGATTAATTAGAGAGAGAATTTCGTTGGCATTACCTGATATTCGAGAAGCAACAATGGGAGAGGAATACCCGGACAATTGCCCGTCGATCGGCGAGAACGACGACGCGTACAAAGGGAAGACGAAAATAGCCGAAGTAGCAGCCGTCACATTGTGCAGGCTGAATGGCATAATGAAGCAGATGAGGGATTGGCGAGATGATCGCGTGAAACTGAGGTCGAATATCTGCCGGCTGAAGCTGGCTCTGCGAGTCGCTGGACGCGAAACGGATGACACCCTGCACGGTGATCCGTTGATCGAGCACCAGAGAGCGGAGATCAAGCGGCTCGAAGCGGCGAATCGGGCGCTGAAAAGGGAAATCGCCGACGTTAAGACGACCCTAATCGAAGAGGGCCGCGTTACGCCCGAGGACAGTTGGACGTTCAACGACGATCATTCGGTCGTTAAGCAGGAGTTCTTCGCGGAAACGGAACGTTTGAACAACGAAATTCTTTACCTAAGGAGTCGGCTGAAGGAGGTCGAGGAAGGAGACGAGAACAGTTCAGAAATGGAGCACCTGAAGTGCAAGCTGAAGCACTTCATGATGGTCGACCATACCGTGGAGATTATATTCACCGACATAGTGAACAAAGTCGCCGAGACGATCGCCAATTTGTCCGAGGAACTGGTAAACGTAACCGGCCACTTGCAGATGTCCAAACTGAACAACGACAATTTGTACCTAAAGATCGACAAGCTGCAAGCGATGCTACGATCGAAGAATAGCAACGCCGTGGATTACCAAAAGAGAATCGTCGAACTGGAAAACCTGTCGAAACGTCTCGAGGCTGAATTATCTACGCTCAAAGATGATTCGTATGGCGAATTTTTAAATATGAATTCGGATTATCAAACTCATCTTGGGAATGCGGAGCGATTGGCGAGCGATTTGAAGAACAAGCTGAAGAACGACCGGGAGGCTCTGCTCGGGGCTGGCGATCCGGATTGTCTAAATTACATGCAAAGAATCGCCGAGCTACGCGTGAACTTGAAGCAATTGCACGTCGAACTATCGAGGTCGACCGTGCCTCTTCTTTCCAGTGGCAGCGAGAAAACGACGGTGTACAACAAGTGCATAAAGCAGATATCCGTTTTGGAGTCCACTTTGAAAGAGATCAACGCCGAGATCGACGAACTGAAGTCCGATCATGTAACGAGGCATTGTAAGCTCGGAGGTCTGGAGTACCTGAATAAAATTGAGGAGGTCCAAACGATCGTCGAGGAGGCGATGACAACGATGAATGGCTTGAATCGTCGTACGCCGGGGAAGCCGGTCGATGGAAAGGAGATTGAAAAATTGAAAGGTTTCGTTGGTAGAGTGTGTCGCGAGATAAAACAGTTGGAAGTGATCGTCGCGTCTAACGATTGTTTGAGTTTGTTCGCGAGAATCGAGCAACTGGAGGAGTCGATCGTTTTATTAAAAATGGAGTCGAACGAGAAGGACGAACGAGCGAACGCTTCGAGGCAGAGATTATTCGATTTGGAAACCGTGCTGGAGGAAAAAATCGAGATAGCCAAGGACGCCGAAATAAAAGTGGCCGCGCTAACGGACGAGAATAAAACTTTAAAGGGGAGAGCGAAGAAAATGGAAGGAAAGATATCGGAGCTACAGCGCGAACTGGATGCCACCAAGGGGGAGCTGGAGCAGCTACAACAGGTGAGAAACGAAGCGAGTCTGACGAGAAAG